CACACACACACACACACACACACACACACACACACACACACACACACACACACACACACACACGTGACACACGCATGCACACGCACGCACACACTCGATCATCACGTGGCGCGCAACAATGCCGAACCTGCATTAATTTTGCAGTCCGCGATAACATTTAGTGAGGTTGACAGTGAAACGGAGATCTCATGCGTAGCCGCAGTGGATTGTGAAGCAATCTAACGCCGCTCGAGCAGCAACAGCAGCAGCAGCTGCACATCCCTTGCAACGCATGCAGTGAATGCAGTGCAGCAAAAAGGAGCTTCAGTATTTACAAGATACTCCCCTCTTTACGTCCGGACACGTTAAAAGTACAATGAAAAACATGCAAAAAACATACATGAAAGGTATATACAGTAGTCCCGCACAGGCCGTAGATTAGTGTCCGTAATAATTACAAACTCTGAAGAAAGAGACGGACGGTGACGCGAGGAATATAGAGACACGGAGAGTTAGCGGGCAGGGCGTAAACGAGTGGGTTAGAAAGGATAAGAGAGCGAGAAAGAGGAGGAATAAAAGAAGGGGGAAAGAGAGGGTGAGACAATACAGGGGATATGGAAAGGGAGGGCGGTAGACAGAAGAGGTTTGTATGCAAAGGTGAAAGAGAATATAGACATCGATAGGCAAAATTAAGTGTTAAAATGAAACAGTAGGCGGTTTTCCACTACATCTTGCTGTGTCGGTGGCAGGTAGTAGTAAAAGGTGGTCTAACCCAGGCAATGTAGTAGCCTGTACTTACTCAGAGACACAGAACGCAAACTCGTTGATGCTTTCGATGACTGCCTTGAAGGATATCATCGACGTGAGAGTGTGGCCGTGGAATACTACCGGATCGCCATCAGCTCCATCCCAGCAGTGCACTAACGAACAGATAATGAGAGCAGTTTTAAATTCTTCCGGTCTCTCGCGAACACAAACATAAGCACAAACACAAACACAAGCACAAACCCACACGCACGCACGCACACACACGCACACGCACGCGCGCACGCACGAAGGCACGCACTCTCTCGCAATCTATCCCTCAAACTCTCTCTCTGACTCTCTCTCTCTCTCTCCATTTCTTTACCTTTCTCACTCTCTCCCCTCTCTTTCACTTCTTCTCTATCTGTCGCTCTCTATTTCTCCATCTCTCTCTCTTGCACACACGCACGCACGCACATACAGCCAGTGACGCTTCCATACATGCGCGCGTGCGCAGTATAACCACTGACATATCGCGATCATTACAGTCATTTACGGCTCCTGTAGGTGCAGCATTTCGAAAGCAGAAATTTCCGTTTGCTTACTTACTAAATATTCATGAATCTTTTTACAACAGTCTGGCACGCCAGAATAGTAACTATAAACGCGCGGCAAGGAGAAAGGCTTGACAAACTGACGACGCCTGCTGGTGCTGCTGCTGCTGCTGCTGCTGCTCCTAGTGCTGTTACTGCTACTGCCCCCGCTGCTGCTGCTGGTGGTTGTGGTGGTTGTGGTGGTGGTTGTGGTGGTGGTGCTGCTGCTGCTGCTGGTGGTATTGGTGGTGCTGCTGCTGCTACTGCTGCTTGTTGTGGTGGTGGTGGTGGTGCTGCTGCTGCTGTTGCTGCTGTGGTATTACTGTCGTAAAAAGTTTCGTCATAGACCGAGATGAAATCCATCGATTGTCATGGCCACCGAGTTAACGTTGCAGGTGCACCAGTAGTAGCACCAGCTGCAGCAACAGCACCAGCAGCAGTAGTGGCAGCAGCAGCAGCAGTAGCGGCAGCAGCAGTAGCAGCAGCATCAGCACCACCACCACCACCAGCAGCACCACCAATACCACCAGCAGCAGCACCACCAATACCACCAGCAGCAGCAGCACCACCACCACAACCAGCAGCAGTAGCATCAGCAGCACCACCAATACCACCAGCAGCAGCCGCACCACCACCACAACCAGCAGCAGTAGCATCAGCAGCACCACCAATACCACCAGCAGCACTATCGGATTGGCATGTCGTCGCCAGCGGCCGCGGCCGCCGCGCCGCCCGCCGCCGCCGCCGCGCGCCGCCCTAGGATTTTCTTGTGGAACGCTCTACCGGCTGCAGTTCTTCTCGGATATCTTCAATTCGAATGATGTGCTGCGGTTATCGTAAAGCGAAGGAAGCCTGATGTTTTTCGTCAAGTGGGCGGAGTCTATTCGTTGCCATCGGTAACACATTTTTTGTGCGAAATTATTCTGTAGAACTGTAATTTCTCGAGCTTTTTACCGATCACACCATGTATGAATTAATATTTGTATTAAAATTTTAATTCAAACAAAAAAATTAATAATAAATATATTTGCTAAAAATATTATTAAATTAAAAACATATTTGTATTAAAATTTGTATTTTAAATTATTATTAATTATGATTGTCAAATCCAAAAATATATACTATAGACATATGAATTATATAGGACTGTCTTATCGGCCCTGTGTGCCACCAAATTAATGCGCAACGGGAACAGCACAAGGTTACAGGTTCTTACAATATTTCCACAAAAATGTTGTTACCCATGGCAAACGGATGACTCCGCGTCTCCGACCACACCAAAAACGAATTGCGTCTTCGCTTTCTACCATAACGCACCTATGCCAATTTGAAGGCATGATCTGCGAGATCGCGGTAAAAACTGCTACAGGTCACTGTTGATTTTATTTCACTTACCTTGTACTATGTCTCTTCGCTCTCATAAACTCAGCCGCTAATTGAACCTAGCAGCGAGCGCAAACCTTGTGTAATGGCTTCACAGTTGGGGAAGAATAGAAGGTCTGTCCGCATACGCAAAACACCACTGCCTGACCTTAGTTGACGCTTCACGCGTCGACTTACTTTCTCTTCGGGCCTTCACTAGGGTAACCAGTATTTGCATAATACTTGCACATCTGAGGCACACCAGTTGTCTCAAACCTTTGTCTTTGCCTGACTTATTTAAATGTTACCTGCTTCTACGTTCCTTACAAGATTATTCTATTCATACTAGATCACGGGGGATACATGAGTTGGCGACAACTGCTCCTTTCTAGTTTTTAGCCTCATCTGACATAGTCAGATGCAGCTTGTAAGAATCGCCTTGATCGTCGCGTCGTCGTGCGTCCGGTGCCGGCCGTCCGTACCGATGCAGTCTACAGTTTGGGACAAATCTTAACCGCTCGAAGCGTACGGTCGATATCGGCACATCGGGGCGGTGTCGTCCAAGGGTGGGGATGTCGAAGCTGGGGTTCAAAGGTAAAAGGTCAAGAGGTGTAAAGAAGGAGGGAACATATCACTCTTAACTTAAGGTATTAGGACGGAATATGAGATAATTGCGCACCAAATCTAAAGCGGCTCGACCTAGGCTGTGATAGCGGGCTTGCTCATGGTAGGCAAAAGCATCACTGCTGCCGAAATTGAGAGTCACAGGTCAAGGTCAGTGGGCACAGGGCAGATTTTAGAGCAGTTATCTGGAAGGATCATTGGATCTGAGGAGCCTGATGAAACTTTTTTGTTTCGCAGGTGATTGACATTTTTTGCTTTAATAAGCCGGCCATGAAATGCTCCCTTCTCGTGACATGCGAGAAGTAAGTGATCGGGATAACCTTTTTGACCCTCAAGTGGAGGGTCTAAACCATGGATTCGTTGACTGTTAACAAATGGAGTGAACTTGCTTCTTGCTATTAGAGCCTCCCTTCCCCCCACCCTCCCCTAATCCCCTCTCCCCCCACACCCTCCCCCCACGCCCCCCACCCCCCCCCCCCCCCCCCTCCCCCCCCACCCACCCCCTCCCCCCCCCCATTCCACCCCTCCCCTCACCCTCTCCCTCCCCCTACCTCAAGAGAGGGCTTAAACATGGCATTTGCTGAACTGTCTGCGTAGAAGAATATTGACTGCCGGGTTTGCTAGTAGAAATCTATAAAGTGCCTGAGGATGTTATGCAGGCGCAACTACAATGTCACAGTGCAAATTTCAAACGCTAGAATTTGCGTTAAAAGAAGGTGTATATTCCTTAAATGTTATAATTTCTGCTGTCTTCTGTACTGGTCAGTTTGTTACATGATCACGTATGCCACGCAGTGGCTGTGCAGGGGTTGGGGCAGGTTTTTGCCTCAGTTAATTGCGTTACATGGTGGCCAGCTCTTATTGCCACATGTGCAGCCTGTAGGCTTGCGTATGTAACAATGGATGACAGTGATTACCTAGGCTTCTGCTCTTTGCAAAAATAGTTGTTGCTATAGCGAATGATGGGAGCTTCATCTTTTAATCTGAGACATTAAACGGACACG